GTGTGTGTGTGTGTGTGTGTGTGTGTATTCGGACAACAACGTGTCATGGTGAAAAAACTTCCGGGTGGTGCACAACCGTTTTCAATTTTCCCCTGCACATACGAGGTTTCCGGAATGAAAGCAAGGCACACGGCCATACTTCCCCTAGCGTCCATACTCTTCCATTGCGCTGCACCGCTGTTCGAACTCATGCGAATGGAAAAAACAAAAACTACATTCTGTGCAAGTTCCCCTTGGGCCCGCACGCACCACCGTTTGAGCTCGCATGAACGGGGAAAAAAAAAAGAACTGCATTCCGTGCAAGTTCCCCGTGGGCCCGCACCTTGTCCTCCGCCAATTTCCCAACACAATTTCCCAACACAGTTCCCCCGGGTTCAGAGTGGCGTCATGCGAGACCCACCATTCCCTTTATTATAGAATATAGATATAGAAGTATAGATAGAAAAGAGATAAAGAAAAGGCCTGAAAGGCCATCATGTCCAGATTCTACAGGTCATTAAATTGGTTGGGCTTCAAAAAATTAGCCCAAAAAAATAAAAATAAAAAAAATGAAAAAGGGATAATTAAGAAAATACCTCCAGAAGTTGAGATATATGCCAAGATGCCCCTGAAAGATGTGAGTAGAGCCGAATGCCCTTTTGTGCCAAAATCTTTCTGTTGTGCCCCTGTCAAGCGGGTGACACTGTGCAACTTTGCAATTTGGACCTACCATTTGGGCCTTGGCCTTTTTGCAATAGCGCCTAGGAGAAGTTGGCAAGTATTGGGCTATTTTGCAAAGTTGGATGATACCCGGTAGGGGTATATTGGAAAGATGGGCGTCCAACCGACGCCAGGGGTATTTCACAATATTTTTTTTTCCTGTCAGAGGGGCATTCCTCCCTACCCACATCTTGTAGGGGCATTCTGGCATATATCTCGACTTATGGGGGTATTTTGCAAATAAAAAATAAGATAAATAAATAAATAAATAAAAAACAATCCGAAACTTCTTCCCCTCGTCCCGTTTCTGTCTTCTGTCTCTTTTGATCGGTTAACGGTCGTTAGATATTGCTAAACGACCATTAACGACACTGAGGGGAGCGTTAGAAATGAAAAAAGAAAAACCTTATTTTTTTTCCCTTTTTCTTTTTACCGCGTTTTCTCTATCGATCTATCCAGGGGCGAGGTCCCACTAGCAAAGAGGATTGAATTGAACACCTGATTCTGACCTGAATCTGGACTTGTTTGTGGAGAGGTGCAGAATGTCGAGGTTGAACTGCTTTTCCGCATCTCTGCTTAAAACACGTCCAGATTCAGGATATTTACCAACCCTCTTTGCTAGTGGGACTTCGCTTCTGAGGTGCCGAGACGCTCTTAGGCAGGGCCTGCCTGACCTCACTACTCACCAAATGTGAAAAATGGCAAATGTATCTTTCCCTAATCTGTTATCGGATACAGTGATTATTTATAACTTTTGTCATTTCCACATTTACTGAGTGGTGCCTCATTCCCCTTTGGCTGTCGTAACCCCTTTTTTTGTCTCTGACTCTGTGTTATGGGGCCTCCCTCCACTACTATCGACATCCACGAAATATGAAAAATATGGTGATCCCCTCCTTCAACCCCAATGCACCGATTGGTAAAACATCCCCTCAAATTATGCAATATGTTCACTCATTCTATGAAAAGCTTCTTACATGTGAGAAAACACCCGGTGAATCGGCGGTGATCCTATCATTGCTTAAGAATGGGAGGATTTCCTATGGCGATCTACCCATAGACTTATCTTTGATGCAGAACAAGAGCAACTGGAACAACCTATTACTCTTGAGGAGTTAACTACAACAATTAAAAGTATGGCTAAAAGGAAATGCGCTGGCCCGGATGGTCTCCCGGTAGAATTCTATGATATGTTATGGAACCTACTAGGACCAGACATGGTCAGGGTATTCAACGAGATTTTAAATGGACATAGATTAGGACCTCGTACTACAGAAGGCGTCATCACACTGCTATATAAGAAAGAAGATAAGTGGGATGTCCGCAATTAGCGCCTAATCTCCCTCCTTAATGTAGCAGGGAAGATTCTGGTCAAAACGATGGCCAGAAGATTAACCAACCTTATGACCAAACTCGTTGCACCTGACCAGTCAGGATTTGTACCACGGAGACAGGTATTGGACAATGTAATGACAATCTCACAGGCACTAAAATTAATTAAGACCAACGAATCTAATTCAACAATAATATTGATCGACTTCGAAAAAGCTTACGAAAGGGTTAACTGGGACTTTGTCCAAGAAACCATGACCCAAGTAGGCTTTGGGCCAAACTTTATTGCCTGGTTCAGATCTCTATATAGTGGTTCCCAAGGTAGGGTTTTGGTTAACGGGTTTATCTCAAATCCCTTCACAATTTCAAGATCATTGGGACAGGGATGCCCCTTAGCCCCCTCCCTTTTTGTGATCCAAATGGAAGTCCTGTTGAATATGGTCAGATCACATCATTTATATAAAAGCCTTCGAGTACATAACTCCTTTGAGCTCAAAGTTTTTGCGCTTGCAGATGACTTCTCAGCAGTTTGAGAAAACTCTGTGGAATCTCTTCAAGCGTTAAGACAATGCCTTACGATATATGAGGCAGCATCTGAAATGAAGGTCAGCTGGCATAAATTTGTTGCAATGACCCCAGACGGTAGCCCATTGACAATTGACTGGGGTATCAAAGTTCTTCCAAACACAGACTCAGAAAGATACTTGGGTATCCTAATATCGTTCTCAGACTGTTCCAAATCACAAGACGCCATTATAGAAGAAAGAATCACGAATTCATGTGCTCATTGGTCCAAGAAAAACTTCTTATCGTTGTTCGGTCGTGCAATGGTTGCTAATGTGTCGATCCTATCTACAATCTGGTATATCCTTTCGTTTATAGAGCTTTCTCATTCTTCAGCTCAACAAATTCGTCAACTCCTTTCCAGATTCATCTGGAAGGGGGACTCAGAACTTCAGAAGTGTTCTCATGCATATCCAAAGTTGCCTGGTGGAAAGTTATTGAGAAGAAGAAGGATGGAGGACTTGGGATCATTGACCCCGAGATCCATAATAGAGCGCTCCTAACGAAATGGGTTACTAGATTACCGACCCTCCCAAGAGACACCCCATGGATTCAGTTAGCTGTCTCCATCCTTACTAACGATTGGTCGTTATCTGACAACTCAGCACTATGGGATTGCTTGCTCTTCCATTCACTTTCCAAGAACACTGACTCTCCTACTTGTGGCCTAATACTTAAAGCATGGACCAGTATGCAACCCACTACACTCAAGGAATGTGAGTCAGCAAAGGTGGTTCTTTCTATGCCCCTATTCGAGAATCTTGCAATTTACGGGGAGCTAGTGGCGGTATTCAACGTTACTTCACGAAAAGGTAACT